TACTGACTTGACACGACTCACAAAGTAAATTAGAGCTGAAACAAAATTGACCTTCATAAGGTAGACTGAACTGAGTGACAACTTGCTTCACAATTCGCATGGCTGGATGCCCAAGACGTTTGTGCCAATCATCAACAGAGGCACTTTCGCCAATCAATGCAGAAGATTGATTTGTATTGATCACCTCACTCGAAAACTAATACAACCCATCTCTACTGGTTCCTTGTAGCAAGATGTTCCCCGTATAATCCTTCACAAGAAAATAATCACCATGAAATTCAAAAAATAATTTGTTATCCCGAGCAAATTTCTGAACAAATAACAGATTTTTGGAGAGCTCCTATACATGAAAAATATTATTTAAAGAAAACTGGCGAGTAGTAGTTTGCAGAACTGAAGAACCCTTTAATCTCCCACCAAAAACCTTTTAAATCTCATCCATTTATCTCCCGTGTGTCCTATCTTAACTCTCCATTACCATGCCGAAAAGATGCAATTGAAAGCACCATAATATTCAACATCGATTCTTCCAAAACTATCTTGACATCCCACCGATATTCTTTATTTCCAAACCTGAACTTGACTTGATCTGACCCACCATATTCAGATCGAATTTGCAGATTGTCGGCATCAGGCATCATGTGATGTGTTGCACCACTGTTCGGGTATCAGGTTGGATCGAATGCAGATTGAAAGGGAGCAGTATTGTTGTTGTAGGCTGCTGGTTCTGCCTCCTCATTCTTGTAGTTGAGATCATATCGTCAGCGACATTTAATCACTTCATGTCCTGGCTTATTGCACATAGGCCTGTAAACGGATCAAATTCGAATCGAATTAGGCTAGATTCAAATTCGAAACCAATTATGAAAAACAACATTCGATATCCAACGAATATCGATTGTTTAAATTCGGAATCGAATTTGATTATTAAGTCAAATATTCGATTCGATTCGATTCGAATTCGACCGGTATGAGGCCTAGAATCTTAAATGATCGAGTTTGCAAAGAAAACAAGCGGTTATCTTGAGAAAAGCGGCAAGAGATTGATGGTGGTAGTCGCGGGTTCCCGGCGGTGGGCCAAGTCTGTGACAACGGCAATCGTGGGTTCCCGGCGGTGCGAATGCAATGGTAGTGAGTAGTGTTGGCTGGTGATGTTGGACTATTGCAACACTATAGCTAGTGATGTTAGTTGGTTGAGGGCCTTGAGGTGTTGAGCTTGAGCTTGAGCAGCGGCGAAGGAGATGGTAGTGGTCGGTGACTGGTGCTCGACTGCTATCACTAATGCTGTCGTAGGTGCTCACAACTTCCAAGGATTGGGAATAAAAAAGACAGAGGGAGAGGAAGAGAAGAGGAGTGTGAATAGAAAAGATGGAGGGAGAGAGAGGAAGAGAAGAGGAGGAAGAAGAAATTAAAAACGGGAGAGAAACTGGTTTGGATCTTTGGTTTCTAGAAAAAAATAAAATAAAATAAAATAGAAGTGGAAGAGAAAAGGACGACTGGATGAGAGAGAGAGAGAGGAGGGAGGGGTTATCGAGAATGACAATAGGTAGGTGATATAATTGCAGAAACAAAATAAAATGAAAGTGGGAGAGGAAAGGACGACCGAACAAAAGAGAGAGAGAGAGAGGAAGGGTTATCGAGAATGACATGCACAGGTGATATAATTGCCGCTGTCAGCTTTTTTTATGATGGACTCGACATGACCACTCTTTAGCTTTAACCTTTATATTTTATTATATTTATTAATATATATTAAATGTATATAATTAATCGAATTCGAATTTTTATCGAATCAGATCAATATGAATTCGAATTCGAATTCGATAAATTAATCGGTAAAATGTATAAATTCGAATTCGACCGTTTAATTTATCGAACCATTCAAATTCGATTCAATTAGGTCTGATATCGAATTTGGAATCGAATAATCGGATACCGTTTACACCCCTAATTGCACAACAGACAGATAATTGTATTTCCACATCCTCTACCGCCATTATTCATGCGGTTTTCTGAAGAACCATGCCCCCTGCCTCTTCCGCGGGTGTTCTCGGAAGGGAAATACTGATTATTATTTTGATTTGATTTTTAAAATTAGCCATATTGGCCGTAGGGGGTGAATCAACTGTGGTAGCATTCTGTTCTAACCAGCCCTCATGGCCAAGAAGAATGCCTAAAACATCATCAATATCGAGGTCCTCTATATCGGACCTATTAGTAATGGCAGTAACAATAGATTCATATTCGGATCCTAATCCAGCCAGTATATAAAGAATCAAATCACTCATCTTTACTGGTTCTGTGACAGCTGCAAGGCTATCGGCTATGGATTTAGCTTTTCAGACATATTCAGAAATAGACATACCTCCTTTTTTGAGACTTTGAAGTTATCTTCTGTATTGCATCAGCCTGGACCGTGAGTAATTTGCAAAGGATTTAGCCAGTGTTCCAAACGTCACGGAAGATCGATGTCTTACAACTTGAGTAAACACGTTCTCCGTGAGCGACGCAATGATCCAGGATAAGACCAGTTGATCTTTCTCAAACCACTCTATATGTGCTGGATTGAGAATCATCCGACTTCCATCTGTCAGATCTGGTATATACTGAGGAGGTGCAACGATAGAACCATCTACATACCCCATCAGTCTGTTGGTGTAGAGAACTGGCAGCAACTGCATCTTCCAGAGCAGGTAGTTGTCGTTGGTGAGCTTGGTAGGAAGATAATGAATCCCACTATGGGGAACTGAATTCGAACCTGATGTGTTGCTGGAGGCTGATGCGCCTGTTGATTGTTGTGACGCAGAACTGTAGTTGCTGGAGGCCATGGGATCGACAGAGCTCTGATACTAAGTTAAAATCAGAGAACACAAATAATGTTTGGGCGCAGTAAATTGGCCATTGGCCTTGAACTGTATTTATAATAGAAGAGTTCTACAAAGAGGAAACTCTATCTTAGATAGAGTCCTAGATAACAACCAACAAAGATAACCAACAGATCTCATCTCATTATGCTAAGGATAATTGTTATCGTAAGGATGGAGTCCCAAGGATATACACAACTGGGTATACTCGATATACTCTAATACTCAGAAATCTGAAATACAGCCCCCTCCTAGTCTACTAGTACCCCCCCCCCCCCATAAACCGCATCCTGCCTGTGGATTTGGCATCGATCCACGGTCAGGATTCATCCCACCTGTACGGTGGAGCTAAGATTTCTAGGGGTGGACTGAACAGTAAAAACCCCTAATTTGTATTAGTAGCTGCTAGCCCCGGTGTTTTAGTTTCTGCTTTCTATATTATATATTTATATCTTTGATCAGTAAAAAAATTTCATTAATAATTCAAAAATTTAGTACAGTTATTAAAGCAAACAACCATCCCAAAGTACATTAGATTACAACTTTGCCCAAAACAAAAGAAGCCTGTCAATTCCTTGTTTTGCTAACACATCTGCCATCCCATTGTCCATCCTTCTTACCCAGCTGAAAATAGAATTAAACCTCTTTGCTAGGATATTAATTTCCCTGAAAGCATGTTTGTATTTCCAAGGAGCTGAATTGATTTTCTTGGTCCATGTGATGGCTAATTGCAAATCTCCTTCAACTTCCAATTCTCCAACTCCAAGTTGTATTGCAAGTCTCATTCCTTGTAATTGAGCCAATACTTCAGCCTGAACTGAGTCTCCAAAGCCAATTGATCCTGAAAATAAGGCCACTGCCTCTCCTTGGTTGTTTCTAAATACTCTTCTTTCTGCGTTTCCCAACGAGCTGCCATCAAAGTTCAATTTCATTTTGTTAAAAGATGGAGGTTTCCATTCCATCCTTACATTTCTGCATATCCAACTGTTTGCGCCACTTCAGTCCAAGACTTTATTATATCATTGGATGAGAATTCTTGGAAGATGTCCAAATCTTTACCCCATGTGCCATCCTAACTGTTGTAGCTTCAACCTGTTCCTCCTTTGATTTACTCTTTTCACTATAGATCCTTTGATTTCTTTCTTCCCAAATAGTCTACACTACCACTGCTCTTACTGCCCTCCACAAAATTCTTCCTCCCTTTTTCTGTTGTTTCAAGAAACTGGAATTGAACAAGCCTACCACATCCTGTGGAGGAACCCAACTTTCTATATTATATTTTGATGCATTGTGTGTGGTTCGAGTCTGTTGTGTCCCTCTTCTTAGTAGCTCTTGGAAGTCAGTGTTTTTCCCTATGCTCTTTTTACTCCACTATGTTTAATCGGGCTACTTTGCTTTGCTTTTCTTTTTTTTTTCTTTTTTTTCTAGCTAATCCAGACATTGGATTTATATGGACCTAGTGGTAAAGTTGCTTTTATTGGAGGCTTGTTAGGGTCAGCTATACAGGCTTAATCTTTTTGTTCTTGGTGCTTGTTACATTACCTAATTTCTTAAGACTGTTTGGTTCCAATGCAAATAAATTTGCACTGGTGCAAAATCATGGCAGTGCTAATGATTTGAGTGTAAATTCTGACTTATTTCTGTTTCAAATTTTAGCTTATTTTGTTTGTTTGCAGTACAAATGAAGTAAATTAAGACATGAAACAGAATAAAGTAAAATCCAAAACAAAATTAAACAAGAATTTGCATTTTTTACATTTGCACTCCCATGCATTTGTACTAGTGCAAATAAATTTGCACTGCAACCAAATACAGCCTAAATGAATAATTTTTTTTTTTTTTTTTTCACTCAACCAGAATCCTCCATACCCACATGCTTGCATGAATTGAAAGTTGATTTCAGTTATTATGTTCTTCGGAGTGCAATCTTCTGTATGCAAAAATAAGCTATCTTTTTCTTCTTGCTTAGGGTCTCCTGAATCATGAGCTGTCAAGGTTCCCATTTTCTTCACTTATGATTTGAGACAAAAATTAAAACCAATGGAATCTACCATTGTAAAGATAAACAAAAAAAGAAATCTACTATTTCTCCATTGTCACTTTAGGACTTCATACAGTTACGTCTTTGATGATTAGGCTCTGCAACAACAACAACGATATGAGAGGGAAGCAACCTTGGCTGAAATTGACCACAGCCGCAAGATTTTACTCAATAAACTTGAGGAGTACAAAGGGGAAGACTTGGTAGTGATCCACGAGGCTTCTGCCTTCGCTAGTGAGACGGTTGAGCAGAATGATGATCTCCTCCTCCCACCATATCCAAGCCGACCTCCACGTTCTTTGGTCTTAGGTAATGGCTATTCCTCAAACTTCTCTTCTGCATCTAAATTTTCAAGTAGCATCATTAATGATTTTCCAGTAACTGAGGCCAAGAAGAGTACAAGTGAGTTGGACAAAACTCAAAGTCAAGCACCTGGTAAAAGCTCTTCTGGTGGATTGAGACTTCTAAGTTTGGGGGCCAAAGCAGCCCTTACCCTAGTCAGTGTGATATCCGTTCTAAGCTTGGCTGGTTTCAAGCCAAGGCTTACGAAAACGAGCACCCAGTTCAAGGCTCTTGATATGTTTCAAAAGCCTACAGCCGAGGAGAAGAGAACCATGATTGAATGTCCACCTGGGAAAGTCTTGGTGATGGAAGACGGGGAGCCTCGATGCCTCGTGAAAGAGAGGGTTGAGATTCCATTTGAGCCAGTTGTTAATACACCTGATGTAAGTTATGGTTATGGCTGAAAAACATATAGTTGATCTATTTCCTGTTGTATGGTTTTAGTCATCGGGTTTAATCTTTTTTTTTTTGTGGTTGAAATTTCCTCTTAAAGAGAAAGATGATGCTCATTGCTTCATCCATTAATTTTCTGTAAGGTAGGCCCGGACTTTAGGTGGTAAGATAGGGGGATGTATGCCTTTCTACTCCTCTATGAGTATCGGTAATAACATTGCTTGATTAGGTCTCCAATTAAATGCTCAGAATATAGCCTTTAATTGGCTGTTAAGTTACTTCAAATATGAGTCCGGATCATATATATTGGTTATCATCTCGTCTTCACTCCCTATACTCTATAAATTAGCCGAGGAAAAGATATCAATATATCATCTCTTTGTTGGTGGCACTTTATTACTTACCCGCTAACCGTGTCTGTGGGCTGTTATGAGGGGTGAAGTCAATTGCCCGTGGGCTGTGGCTTTTTGATAGTCGCCTATAGACTAAGGTTAGGGTTGCAAGTAAATATTGTCATGTATTGGCTTGTATCGGCCGATACATATCGTATTGGAGCCTTCCCGATATACCCCTACAGGGGGTGTTTTGGGTTGGCGAGTGGTTCAGGGGGTAGACCATTCTTAGACCGTCTCTTTTGAACCAGATTTGAATAAAAAGAAAAAATACAAAAAACAGTATCAATACTGGTGCATTGCCCTGTATTGATATTTTGAACCTTGATTGTAAGAGAACGGGATCTGCTCTTCACACGGGTGTTTCACAGGCACATCTCTCGTGAATAATAACTTAAAAGTATGAGAGATGTTCCCTATGCTAGGATGTGCATGTGAGGTTGGTGTGAGGCGCCTGAGGAGCAGATCCGGTCTCGGTTGCAAGTGCCAACCAATTGGTTGGTAAAGCAGAGACTTGGGATGGAATCCCACTTGCACCTGGGTTGGTAAGTGGTCACTTGCCCTGATATTTTTATTGGGGGCCCCATACCACTTCACATGTCTCTCGTCTCCCACTCTGGCCTAAGAAGCATAGTGAAGGTTTAACACCTTAAAACTAGATCTGAGATTGGAGCCCTGATAAATAGTTAGAATCTCCTTGGAGCTTTCTCTATGGTAAGCGGTAACTTACTGTAGAAGGATAGGGCTCTATATATGATGTAGAGGTGGTAACATGACACGATCGGTTTGCCCATAAGAATCACTTGTCTTCTAAGTATTTTTGACACATGAAGGATGATGCAGTTGATCGAAGCCATCCAATTGGGCAATGGGTAGGGATTAATCACCTGTTTACATATGGTAATTATTTAATTTTAAAGTTCTAATATTTTTATATAAAATAAATCTAAAACATGGTTTTTTCAACATGTTCCAAATAATTATAACATTAGAGACTCAAGTAATAAAAGTTGATTATGTTTATAGTAGGAAAGTTGATCAAAGAGACCTTACAAAGAAATTATATCATCTGAAAGAGAGGACCAAAATCAAGAACGGGTGATTGTAGAGAAAATAATAATAATAAAAAATGATCATAAGTCTAAAGGTGAATGAAAACAATGTTTGAAAATCAATCAGAAATGGAGCGGAGATTATTGAGCATGTTTTTTCATAAAAGTTTTTCTTTTTATAGAAGAGTTAATTATAGGGTAAATTACAAAGACCTCCTTTGTACTATGGAGTTAGTGACAAAGTCCCCTTGTACTTTTTTTTTTTCTTTGTGACAAAAGCCCCCCTGAACTTTAGCCATTAGACAAAGACCCCTTTCCGTTTAACATTCTATCAGTTAACTTCGAAAAAATTTTTATCCGACTGTCTAAAGATTTTTAAGTGTTCAAACTAACCTTTTTATACTGGTCATTGTCTTCTCGATTGAAACCGTTCTCACACCGTCCCAAACCTGACCATCACCAGCCAATGGTGGCAAGGGCAAGACATTTCCCGCCATTTTGATTGATGCTTGGGAGTTGGGAGAAGATTAGACAGTATGAGAGTGCTCTTTAGTTGGGACAAGCACTCTCATCGGATGGACCTTTACCATCCGATGTGTTAGTTCCGAGAACTCTGCTAAGTCCAATGGATCCGGCATTCAACGATAACCAGCCCATGACTCCCAGAGAAACAGAGTGCTTTCTTCGGTTAAGGTCCGAGCTCGATTTCTCAGGTGCTGTCAGTGTGGAGCAAGAGTCAAAAGCAAACCAACCAAGACCAATTATGGTGTGCAGTTCAGTCAGCATTTCCGGTTCTCCGATTGCCAGCATGACAAAAGACATGCCCAGGGAACATAACAGTCTTCAGCGGTCCCATTCCGGCAAAGACCTGTGCGACCCATCTGGTGTTTTCTGGGAGTGAACCGAGAGGCCCTGATATGGATGCATTGGTGGTGGGCCATGACTGGGTGTGGGTGTCCTGATGAATGGGTGGGAAGAGGAAGCCTGCGTATGTGTTGTTTCTTCCCAAAGTGATACAGAGGTTTGGCTCTCAACACATCATTCACTGAGCTTCACTTTATGGGAACCGTTCCCTTTGGGACATATCCCCCACCTAGATGCCATGTTTTCCATGCATGTCCTGTTCCTTAGCTGCCATTTTCTTGTTTCTCATCCCTTCTACCTTGCTCACTCTCATTCTTGGCATTTCTGGTGGTGCTCTCTGTTACAGACATACGAGCAAACTCATGAGATAGATAGATAGATAGATAGTGCTAGCTTTAATTCTGCATATGAACCTGGATCTTGTGATTCTTCAGAAGACGATGGTCTAAAAGCTGGCTGTTTATGTCTATGAACATAGTGAGCAATGATATCTTCATCTGGGCTCTGAACAAATGAATGAGAAAATGTTGGAACTTCAAAATAAGGTCTACGCAGGAGTCAATAAATCAGAATGAAGGATACCAAAGAACATGAGAGCAATCGAACGGTGATGATGAGAAAACTAACCTCTATGGTTTTATTGGCGGGTTTGTTGATCTTGCCAAAGTGTCTCTGAATTCTCGTTAGTCTCAAGCTCGATACATGTCTAAAATTTGTGTAGTTCAAAGCCAAAACGTTGACTGTAGATCTTTGAAAGAAAACAAGGAGGAAGAGAGCCAAAATAAGAAACTGAGAATCAGAGTCCGCTCTTCCTTCTGGTTTCGTTAATGGCGGACTCGCCTCTTCATTCTGGTTTCGTTATCCGTTTCATTCAGTGCCACTAGCAAGAAACTGAGAATCATAGCCCTAGCTCTTCCTTCTGGTTTTGTGTAGTTAATGGTGGGCTCGCCTCTTCCTTCTGGTTTCGTTATCCATTTCATTCAGTGCCACCAAGAAACTGAGAAGCCTAGGTCGCCATTACTGGTAAAACAAATAGCACAAACAAATCAGAGCCTTGGCTCCTAAATTCTTTCTGAAATCTCTATTTGGTACTTTCTTCAAGATATTCATTTCCGAGGTTAAATAGGTTTTAAGGGAAAAAGGGCAAGAAAAAGAAAATAGAAAAGGTTTAGTGGGGTATTTTGATAATTTAATATTTTCCGTCATCCGACTTAACAGTTCAGGGGGTTTTGTCTAATGGTTAAAGTTCAGGGGGTTTTTGTTGCAAAAAAAAAAATACAGGGGGGGACTTTATCACTGACCCCATAGTACAAGGGGGTCTTTTTAATTTACCCTTAATTATATTCATGAAAACATACGGGCAAATAGGCAACTTGTAACGTGGAGAATAATTCCTTTGCCATTCAACCTCCTTCACTAGGAAACTCGAATCCAAGGCTGTGGTGGTGCCTATCAGCAGCGTTAGGGAGATATTATTCTTCGAAATTTGGAGCCCTAGTGCAAGTAGTGTTTACTTGAGAGATAGCAGCTGTCCAAGAGCTGGTGGGTAATGTATGACTTAACTTACAAGCGTGAAGCTTGTATATATTTATATTTATATTCATAGCAGGTAGCAGATCCGAGACCTTGAATTGTTAATTCCTTGCTCCATCAATCTGCCTAACAGCCTACTTGTCCATCTACTGTCGCAACCTAGTTTTCTGTTGTGTAAATTTTACCAAATGAAAGGACCTGAAAACTAGGGTTATCAATGGGCTCCGAAAATCTAATATTCGATCCCATATATTGGATGAATGCTGATTTCATCCCTTTATTAACTGATAAAAAAATCAACTAGATGTTATGTATAATATTTATATATGTTAAAAGTTAACTATTTTTCATTTTTTATTCTTTATTTTATTGGCAATAAAATGGAGTAGGATCGATCAAATTCAAACCTGCCATTTGCGATATTTTCAGGTCGGATCTGGATATGAAATTTTAATAAATGGATCATGTTTGGATGCAATTGAATCCGGCCCCATTACAGTCCAGTCTGAGTCAAAATCGGATTTGGTCCTCACAAGATCATGTTCACACCATTCGCATAATCCCTTGCAATCCTGCATTGTAAATACTCCTCATGAAAAAAAAAATATATAATTACAAAGATATTTCCAATGCACGACTGTAAAAGGCTGTGGGAAGGAACGGTTTGAGCACTGAAGCAGATCTCATCTGGATCAGTTGATTAACACATTGAGTAAACACTCACAAAATTTTGAGACCTGTTCCTTAAAATACCCTCAGCCTCGGGCCTCCCCCTTGAAAAATATTAGAAATAACTTTGCTGAAGAAACTTACAATGTTGTGCCCACTAGATCTTGGGTCGTTACAACCTTGCTGAAGAAACTGGCCAAGTCATTGGTTAATCTTCCAGGCGTGTCTGGTATCATACTATTATTACATTGCATATACTTGTTTTTCTGCCACATCATGTCACCTAGGTGATTAGACTTCACCATACCAAAATCTTGTTTGGCTTGACTGATAAGTATAAATAAATTGTATTGACTTTTGTCTTAATAAATTTTAGAGGAAATATCATTTATATGTTAGGGACTGTTGTGTGAGTGTTTTCTCCTACGTGAAACTTAAGTGGCACTCCTGTAATAAATGACAATAAACAAATGTTATCTCACCCTTTATATCCATTTTATACAATAGCACAATACCAAATACAACCCTAATATGATTTACCATTTATGGTCATTTAATTGCAGCTGAGATATAAAAGCGCTTTTCTATATTTAAGGTGATTGTTTGGTATCCATGTTGATTTCTCATGAAATGGCGTCACATTAGGGCCATGTTAGTGATTTGCCTTTTAAGGCCTTGTTCGTTTATAACCTTTTAGGTTATTTGGGTAATTGCACTTTTATTTAGGTAAATTCATTTATCTATTTAAAAAAGTTGGTGACTGTTTAGAAAAATCTAAAATTTGGGACTGCTCATTTAATTATCAATGTTTGGATGGTTGATAAAAAGAATTAGACGGTATTCTTAGAATATTTTTGATTTTCAAATGTCACTTAACGGTAGGTACTGGATTGTCAAGTTTTGAAAGTTCAGGTACTGGATTATCACATTTTAAAAGTTTAGATACTGAATTATCGCATTTTAAAATTCAGAGACGAAATTACCACTCAAGCCAAAATACTGGGCACTGATCAGAATTTTCCCTAAAAATAAAAAAGAATCAAGAAAACGGCACCATTAAAGGAAACACGATTATTGACGTTTTCTCTTTTGGGACCAATGCGCTGAATATTCTGATGACTTGACATCCAACGTGAATAGTAACTCACTGACGTGGCTCCAACTTGGCGGCAATGGTTCCAAATATACACATTTTTCCGTTTTATGAAAAAAAAAAAAAATGGAACGGCACAGCAATGCAATGACGCAATGGAGAAAAAAATGCGAACAATTAAGAATGGTGCCATTCCATTCCATGTGTCATGTGTGGAGTAGGCGAGAAAGGGATTGCTCTGTTCGTACGGGTACTAATAATCATCATACAAACGGAGATTCCTTGAGTTGAGAGAGTTCCATACAGAGAGACCATCCGACCTGCATCGTGGGCAAGTTGCCTCCCTCAGTTGTGTCGGTTCATTTGATCTCTATTACCCTTACCCTTAGTCCCTTACCCACATCCATTAAAATTGAATTAACCCAAATCAACTAAACTGTTTTATTTATGACTAAATAATAGACTATCTTGTCTTAACAACGATAACTCGCTCGTCCAAAAAGGAAAAAGAAAAGGAGGATTACTCTAATATCCCAGCATTTTCTACTTTCTAGTTTCTACTACTCATACTCAGATTAAGTAAAAGATTTGATTATAGAGAGAGAGAGAGAGAATGGTCCCCCTCGTAAGTAAGTCGTACCACCTACCACCACGTGAAGCTGAAACTTGATAGAAGGAGCCAACAACATATGAACACACATACTCTCTCTCTCTCTCTCTCTATCCTGACTATCAGACTATCTCTGGCTCTAGTAGGGGCTCTGTCCGATGAAATTTCCAGGTGGGTCATATAAACATATAGTAATGGTAGTAGGAGTCGGTTTCACACAGGTAGCTTGTGCACATCCCAAGTCCGAAGAGGTGTTCCAAACCACCTGTGTGTAGGAAAGGCATTGATGATTCGGGATGCATGAGTTGGTTGCATGATCGTAGTACTTCTTCTCTTCCACCCAGGATCCGACGGCAGCAGCCGGAGTCGCAAGCGATACCGGTCCGCTCATCCACATCTGGTTGGAGCCGTACTTGGACTTGCTGAGATCTGCAAATTTGCACCCCATCTTGTCCCTTTGGTACCTCACCATCAGGCTGGCGTCTGTGGCTAGCTTCATGCTCCACTTTAGGGGTCCGACACCCACTGCAGCTCTGGCTTGGTTGTGACCTGCTAAGAACTCTTCGCTCGCATTCTGTTTCTGTGCGGAGGCAGTGCTGCTGATGGCTATTCCTACAAAACCCACCAAGATCAAGATGAGATGATGGGGGAGTAGGTGTTGTGGCCGCCGGTTGCGGTTGCGGATAGCCATTTCCTCACAACGAATTAATCGGAATCCTTTCTTTCAGGATTTCAGGATTGATGAATTTGATGGATGGCCTCAACTTATCGGAATAAGGTCACTTTTATAGACGGACGGACAATTGACACTTGCTGAGACTTGTTAAAGAGATCAACTTTAATTACAGATCTACCCTTGCTATAGAGTTTGCAAACCTTGTTTGAAGAGAAGGGTGCTGTGGTCATTTGACACTGTGGGGAGTGATATGATGATGATGCTTGTACTTGACTCGACCACTGGTACTTACTTGGTAGTGAGCTGGGGGACTGAGGTGTATATAATAAGTAAGTAGCGACTAGCGACCTGTGTGTGGTTACTTTACTCTTGGTTAAAGATTAAAATAGGAATTGGGTTTGGTTTGGTTTGGTTTACTCTTCTTATTAACCTCACCGCATTTGGATTTTGGATTTGTCCCGGTGGAATCTTGGGGGCCGATTCACCGGAAAAAGGCATCAATCTCCAAATTCATTGGCTATTTTACAACATTTACACGGGAAACCGTGTGCGTATTAAAGTGTGGAAATTACTAAAAATCAATCAAATCAGCTTCCCTTTATGTTCAGAACAATGGCATGTGATCTTGTTGACTTTGCCTAACCCTTAAACAATGTGCCCATATAATATGATTTAAAGGCTGCGTTTGGCTGCATTGCAAATTTTTATGGGATTTTAAATAGGTTGAGTTTTTCAGTTTTATTTGGTTGTGAAAAGAAAAATAGTGTGATCCCACCTTATATACAAGAGACAGAGTGAGATATGGAGTAATATGACGTGGTTCCCATTTTATATGAAAGAAAATTGTGATAGGACACAGGTGATACAAGTTTTGCATAAGATTAAAAAAAAAACTTAATTTTGTGTGTAAAAGATACATTAAACACAAATTTTATACCAGAAGAAAATGTAAAGCGCAGTTACAAATAAACGGATGCAGAATTAAACTAGGTGCAACATATTTGTATCTGATTCAAATATGTATTACAACTAAATGCAGCCTAATTCTTATACATACATTCATCTATATTAATATTAAAAGTGTAAAATTTTAGTTTGATTAAAATATCCTATTTTTTGAATTTGGTCTAAAAGTGAAAAAATGATAATTATATTAATAAATAATTTTTCATATTATCCATTAGAGTTTTATTTTATTTTATTAATAATTAAATTAATTTTTCTAGTATTTATTGGTATGTAAATTTTTAGCCCAAGAAGTGAATAGGGCCCAATATGAAATAAAAAATTGAAAAGAGGTTGTTGGGCCCATTAAGATGAGATCTTTTTGTGTGAGGCCCAATGTATGGGCCCTCCAACGTATTGGCCCAAGGTGTTGAGCCCGATATGAATTGAAGAAAATAAATGACAAAAGAAAAAGCAAAAAAAGGGGATGTGGTTTGGATCTTGACGGACCACATTACTCATGATGTGTTATTGCGCCTAGATGCCAAGTGGACTTTTCACAAGAGGTCTCCCAATCAACTTTTAAGGACAAATGAACATGGTCCCACTAATTAAAGATCAGGTTAGCTAAATTGCCATTTTAGTCAAGAAAAGCCGATTGGGTGGATTAATTCACGTACCAATTAAGTCAAAAGAATCCATTTCAAGTCCTTGTGAAAATCCCATTTAAATGCTTACAAAGACTACCCAAGTCAGTGCCGACTAGGGAAAGAAAAGTTATAATTATTTAATGGAATTTCCCTTTAGGGGTTTTTATGATTCAGTCCACCCCTAGGAAATCCTATCTCCACCTACGGGTCTGAATCCTACCTGTGGATACTAGTAGACTAGGAGGGGGCTGCAAAAAAAGATTTCTGAGGGTGAGTGCAGTCCAAAATTTCCTTTTATGTGTGGGCCCAATTTCTTACCAAATGGCCTCTTCACATGGTTCCCTTATTAATTTTAAATATTGATTGCTATAATCCCACTGAATCACTTAAAAATGTCAATACAAATTGGGAAATTGTCTAAAACTCACCATGAATTTTCAACATTTCTCTTAAATTCACCGCAACTTTTCAAAATGTCTAAAACTCACCATGTCAGTAAGTTTTTATTTTTCAAAACTCACATTCCGTTAGTGTACCGTTAATGCTTCTTAACAGAGGTGTCCATGTTAGCATGAAAAACAATTTTCATGACCAAATTACCCTTGAATGGTGAGTTAGAGGAAAAATGGTCTATTTCAGTTTTCAATTTTCCTTTTTTTTTTGCATTTTAGTGTTTTGTTATAATTTCCAATGCTTTTTTATAATTTCTGTTTTTTTTTTACATTTTTCTATTTTCTACAATCTATAAATTTTCTTGTATTTTTTGTTATTTATTTGCAATTTTTGTGTTTTTCTATTTTTTTGGGTGTTTTTTCTACATTTTTTATTTTCTTATTTTGTTTTTCAATTTCTATAACTTTTTTATATTTTTTTGTAATTTCTATGTTTTTATGTATTTTATATTTGAAAATATTTTTTTTGAACTTTTTCCTTTTTTCATGTCTAAATATTAAAATGGTAATATATTAACACCCGCTAATTTATTTTGTATATATTTTATATTTTTCTGTGAAGGTTAAAATGGTAATATATTAACATTGTTAGTCTTTTTAAGGTTAAGTTAGTGACATGGTGAGTTTTAGACATTTTGAAAAGTTGTAGTGAGTTTAAGAGAAATGCTGAAAACTCATGGTGAGTTTTAGACAATTTCCCATACAAATTTAACAAAGAGAATCCTATTCGTTAGATTGGACCAGGTATCTCTCAATCTCAAGCCAATCTTGTGGGTCCCCCAGTTAATTGATTAAATGGTAATTATCACCCATAATGGCATTTCCATTATTGTCAAATGAGAGGGAATCACGGCTATCAAAACTAGATTTCCATTCATACATGATTTTGAATGTCAAGTTGGCGGGCTCTTTTTGGAAGAGGAGCGCAGCTTCTTTTACATAAAAGAGAAGATAAAAAATTAATAGAAGGAACGGAGAACCGGAGAAGACAAAAGAATTTGAAAGAACTCTAGCTCCTGTGTGGCTGTTAAAGTTTCAAGTTAAATGCTATTAGCCACATGCATGTCAAGAGGCATGCTCAACTGTGATCGTTCTCTCCATCTTCGGCTCTCCCCTTTTGGCTCTCTCCAACAGCTCCCAAGTTTTGTTTAACCTTTCTTGCTACAGGAAAGAAAAACCAGAATTTTGACTCCTCAATTGTTGAAGCTTCAAAACTGTTGTAGTCCCGTGTCATGTGAATCGAAGGATTTGATCCTTTGAGTTGCTGCAATCAAAGAAAGCTCCCATCAAATTACTGTAAACAAGAAATCTTCTATCAAATTGCTTCAACCAAGAAGAACTTCATTGAATCATTACAACCAAGGGACCTCTTACAACTAAAGTTGTCAAGCTTTATGGGTCGTGTCCGTGACAAGCTACAAATACAAGTTACAAATATAAGTTCGATCATGTCTGTGATAAGAGAATCAAAGGGTTTTCTTCAAAAAAAAAACAGAAGAAAAAAAAAAGAGTTTGTACCCCACTTACATTTTACAAAAAAAAAAATTAATTAAATTTCTTTGAATTTGTCTTCTTCATTTTTTGTGCTCCAAATTTAGCATGCAATTTGTGTTGACAGTCATAATTAAATTAATTTAAGTCCAAGCTCAAGATTTAAGACAGGAGTTCGGATCTTGTAACCACAAGAACTCTACCCACATAACATTATAGCCACACATGGAGAACATCTCATCCTCTAGAGTATTGTGCACGGAGAGATGTTCCTAATGCATAGAGGTAATCTAATAAATAAAATTAAATTTTAGCAAATTTTTATCTAGGAACTATTAAACATTAAGAAGTTAATAAAAACTAGTAGTTCATAAAATAATAATAATAATAATTAAAAATAATACAAATAATGAAATAAACTACTTGTGTTCCATGTAAAAACTATAAAATTTAATTAAAATATTAAAACTAATAATGACCTAATTATAAATGTCTTAAGACTCCTACTTAGGGATGATCATTTATTACTTAGCCTAAACTCGGCTAAACCAACAAAATTTTGAGCTCAAGCAACTATTTTCTTCTAAGCTAGGTTTAGCGCAGATCTACTGTCCCACACAATGTAGAGAGTAAGATTGTAAATGGTTTGGATTCAAATAAGAACCAATTACATCTGTCCGCATTCAACTATGGAATCTAGATCCACATTCACATTTGATTATTATGTTGGGTTTTGGATCATCTTTGTATTTAATCTGCAACCATCTTATTGTGTTTAAAATGACAAAAAAAAGTTTTAAAAACCAACCACTTTTAAAGTATATATGTATAATAATGTATATAAATATAAAATATTAAATTTATCAATTATAAACTTTATATAGTTATACATAATATATATGCATATATAATTATTGGATTCCAATTGCTATTATTTGGTTCATTTGGAGTTGGAATTGGAATCAACTAACAGTTTTATTAATATTTTATTATTTTATTTGTACTTTATTATTATTATTTTATTACTTTAATAATTAATATCTTAGTATTTATAATGAATATTTTATTTGTGCTTAATATTATTTGATTATTAATACCAATATTTTTATTTTATTTTTTATTATTACTTAGTTAGTAGTAATATTATTATAACTAAAATTATTTTTTCCTATCCCAAAATAAATTGTATTACTATTTTATTTATACATTATATTTAATAGTTAATATCTTTGTTTGCTATTATTATTTTAGTAATATTTTATTATAGTACTATTCTTTTATTATTATTATTATTATTATTATTATTATTATTATCTTATATATTATTAATTTAATAATATTTTATTACTTTATTGATATTAGGGTTTTGGTATCATGAGTTCTTTAGTCCTTAAGGGGGGCTAAAATACCTAAAGGTCCTTACAATAATTATTATTTTATGTTTTTAAAACAACAAAAAATAAGAATAATACAAAAATGGAAAAATAGATAAATACCTATGCTGATTTTTATATTTTTATAAATGGTTATTTTATTATTTTATTATAATTTGTTATTTTTATTATCACTTTTAATTATTCTATTAATATTAATTATACTAATTTTTATAAATGATCATCCCTAAGTACAAATTAATACTATTTTTTATTAATTTTTTAACTTTTAATTGTTGATAGATAAAAACTTGCTGATTATTTAATAATAATAATAATAACAATAATAATAATAATAATAATAATAATAATAATAATAATAATATATTATTATTATTATTATTAATATTATTGTTGTTATTATTATTATTATTATTATTATTATTATTATTATTATTATTATTATTAT